TGGTCAAGAGACAATAAATGTTATTGTCAGAAAATACAAGAGGACTTAGGGAAAATCTAAGACCCAAAATAACCATCTTTGAAGAAGGATTTTCTATTTTTACTCTTGATTTTTTGTAGAAAAGGGAAAACTCAAGACATTCCATCTTACCTCAGGTTTATATGTATGGCTTCAAACTGTGTAAGTTGGCAGATCTTTGCTTATTTTCACTATGCCCTTCTTGAACTATGGCATAAATAAATGCTATAGTCACAGCTGCAGATAATTTTAACCAAGCTACAATGTTAGTTACTCCTTCTGTGTTCTGAGATCTTAGAGTTCAGACTGTAGCCTTTGAACATGTTATTTCAGTACCTAAGCTGCTTTGGAAAGAGTCCAAACCAAATGGTTACTAAATCGGCTCTGTAGTGCCATTATGATGGCGTTAAATGCCATGAGGATTACAGAATCGTATTCCTCTCTATGACTGAGATTAAAATACAGTATAAAGTAGACTTTCAGACATACACACCTTTCTCTTGGAATATACTAGCTTTGGATGCCAGTAATTATGCCAGATCAGAGAAATTGGGTAGTAGTGGGTACCTGCATAGCAATCTATAAAATGAATGAAAGAGCCTTTAATTTGAGTAAGTACAAACTGCTGCTATATCCCTTTGTCACTTCTTTTTAAGCTCAACGATGCCACATGGGACAGACCCAGTCCTCTCCTTCCCAAATGAGCTCCCATGGCCTCAATATTTTTCTATCTCATACTTATAGAGGCATATCCTTCATCTCATTAAATTAATTATTCTGATGTATTCCTCCCTAATTTCTACATTTTCACTTCTCATTTTCTCCTCAATTTCTTACTTCTCTGAAATATGACTCCTATATTCAGCATTCCATTGATGCTACTCCTGTTGTGTGCACCAGTGACCTTCTAATTAAAAAGCACTTTTCTCTCCTTATCAAAGAGAAGGGTTTTTAATAGCATACAGATAACTCTCTCCTTTTTGAAATTATATCCACTCTGACATAGATATTTCCTGACTCTCCTCCTGCCCCTCCATGTGCAGATAGTTGAATCAAATAACTCTTTCAAAAGAGAACATCAGATAAACAAGCCCAGTTTGTGTTGCTAGCAGCTGAATATCTGGATGGTACTACTCATCCAAAATAGGTCATTATTCATGGGTGATATAAAAAGTGTTGATGTGTAAGGATACAGTAGCTCAAGACTGCTTAAATCACTATGATTCTATTTAGCATAATTAGTAATATCATTACATAATATAACATTTTAAAAATATTTGTATGTGTAACTGATAGTGTTCTTTAATAACCATGAAAAAGCCTTTAATCATTTATTTTAATCCAACAATGTGATCTTCTCCATCATACATTTTCACTACTATTCTAAAAAAATTATTTTGGGTCTTTTGAAGTTACTTACACAATACAGTGTAATTTGCATAATGGTTAAATATCGGTTTTGCTAGATCCTTGTCAAGACAAGAATCATAACTTTGTTTATCCTGGCATATCTTAAGGAATCTCAGATGTCTTAGTTTTCAATAAATTATATTAGATTAAAATGTTAGACAGCTTTTAAATAAAAGCAAGACTTAAAAATTCTTTACCGTAGTGAACTCCTCATTACTCTTGTGATATTCACCTAAAACTGTAGTATTCATTTTCTGACCAACAATATTGCACTACAGATTTTCTAAGAACTAGGAGATACAAATCGTAGGCAGTTGTAGAATTAATATGACTTGACTTGTGATTTTCTAGTTTATATAACAGGTAAGTTACACAATCATAGATTCAACAGCAGTATTTTCTCTGAATTACAATATATTCCCAACTATCTTGGCAAATAAATAAGACAGGTACATCTGAGTTGCAATGAATAAGATAGGATATTAAAATCAAACACAGCTTGAAAAGAACTCAAATTTTCACCTGGGCTCTGAAACTATAACTGTGTGTCCTTTGCATTAAAAAGATGCCATTTATTTCTGACTATGATTAATGGTTCTTTTTAGGCAGCCAACTTTCTTTGCCATTTAACAAAGATTGTGTCCTAGGGTTTTGTTTTATTTCAATTCTAGTGTCACTTCTAAATCTGAAAACTCAGATAACAAAGTGTTGAATTTGAATTATAATTTTGTTTTATTAGTGTGAATCTTTCAATATCTGTTATGCAACTGGGAACGTATATAAATTTCATCAGAAGATGTGTGGCTCTATATTCTGTAAAATTCCTGTAGGCAGGAAAATAACAGCCTAGCACTGATATATCCACATGACGTGATGATAACAAACAAAGGCAGTATCTAAAGAACTGTGCCAAGCTGTGAATTGGTCACAGGGATGATGTGTGTGGACATAGTTATTATTTTTACAACATGCAAGAAAATCAAACAAAAAGTTTTTTTTAATTATTTTGGTACTACAGTAAATAAAAGGAGAAAAGGGAAAATAAGATGTCAATTGGTATTTTTAAAAAGAGCATGTTCATAGGTATCAAAAATGAATGAAAGAACATTAATTCACTATCAGAGAGCAAATCCCAGTAACAGGATAAATGAGGCATGAACGTGTACAGTGTACATTAATGTTGTTTAACCCAAGTTTGTGTGCTAGATGCATAGTGAGGCCAAACAAACAAAAACGTCGGAGTTTGGATCAGAGAAAGGTTTACTGATCTAGAGGGTGCTGCTCTCCAGAGAAGATGGGAGATGTAGGTTTGTCTCAGATCCATCTTGCTGGTTGGCCAGGGTGCAAGGGTTTTAAAAGCAAAAAGGGTAAAAGGGGAGGGGGCCTTGTAATTTCAGCTTCCCATAGATCTCAGTTGCAGACTTCCTGCCACCGTCTTATGATTTGATGTGTCATTGGTGATTTTGATTGATTGTTCCTACAAAGCAAATTAGTAAATCATGGTCTTGTGATCCTTTAACTTCTTTCTAGGAGAGAGCAAAAACAATAGCTGAGACATTTTATTATTTACTTAGAGCATTATGTGATGGTCAAGAATTTCATTTCCCAGTTGGCCCCGATGTTTTTTTCTGTTAAGACCTTTTGGGCTTTGTGTTTTCTCCAAGACCATTTTAGTTTGCTTCACCTTTGTTTCTGTGTTCCCTCACTTCCCTAATTAGTAACTGATGCTCTTTGGAACTCAAGGAAGGCCTAGAAGACTAAAGCCTTTCTCTAAAAACAAAAAACGGGGGACACTGAGGGACTTTTGAACCCAGGAGGACTCTCAGAGTCCTGCTTGATTTCATTAAGATAGGATGCAGACCATCATGTTACATATGCATATAATAGGAAACAAGGGAAAGAGTACTGAATTTGGGGCAGGGATAGGGGGAATCTAGGTAAGATTTGAAGAGATAATTACAGGCATACATTACAAAAGGAAAGACTAAACAAAGCAATAGATATACTAGAATAATTATATAGTAATTAACATGCCCTCTTTCTTCCTCTTTAGGGAATTGTTTTCATTTTGATAAAAATTAATCCTGACTGCCACAGTATTTCATTTGGCAGGATATCAGGTAATTTATATTTCAAATATGACCTCATCATCAGTTCCATCTGTTAATATTAAATGAACATCCGTAATGTTTGAAACTCTGACTTGTAGAAAACATACCTAAAAATAAAAATCCTTGAATCTGAGAGACTCACATACCAAACAGAAAACTGAGTAAAGGGTGCTCTTATCTAGCAAATGCTTTGCATTCATTTTAAGTCTTCACGTTTAATCCACCCAGCTCTCCACTCTAAGTCCAGGGACCAAGGGAGGGAGAAACTATAGGCAGCTGCTGCCATAGAATGAGCTCAAATAAGTGTTAGACCTTCTTAAAGAGGACTAGCATATTTTTTATGCTAAGCCACAAGGGGAAAAAAATAACAGGCTCTGATCCAAAACAACCTTCGTTTAAATGCTATACATAGATTCAAAGAATCTTTTTTCCTTTTTTTCACATTCCAACTCAAAACTGAGAGCTCAAAAACGCAAGATTTCAAGACAATGTTGTCATGAAGAAATATTCTAAGTGCTGGGTCATGAGTTTGCCCCTTCATCTTTAACCCAGATATTAAGACCCATGACTTCCCTTCCACATGCAGAGAGATCTGAATGAAGAACAGGGTAAAGACCATTCCATTCCCTCTGGAAGTCTGTCTCCCGCTAATAAATGCTCCTTTTTCAGCAATCTTAAAGGCACCTTTTAAACCTTCAAGACCCAATTCAAGTTGTTTCTCCTCATGGCAGTTTTCCTGGTCCCATTAAGGCAGATTTTACCAAACTTTCCCTTGGGCCAACACTTTCCCTTGAGTACGGCTATCATTACACAGTTTTAAACTAAGTTTCATTTGTTTATTTGAATGTCTGTTTCCTCTACTAGATTATGAGTTTGAGTGCCCATTGCATCACCTAGTTTTCATTCAGTTCACCCCCAATCCACATCATTCCCCTACCAAGACAGGAAGAGTTAAATAATGCCTTCTCCATTTACAATAATAGGTCCTCAATAAATAGTGTTGCAATGTTTATTTTATGACACAGTTGAACCCAAAAATGTTGTTACTACTTTGCTCAAGGGGAAAATCAATACAGCTGTTCAAAATTAATTCTGTCTAGTGAGTAAAATTAGCAAAAAGTTTATGAAATTGTTCTTGACTACAGGTGGTACTAGATTTTGTTTTTGGTTTATCTCATCAAAAATATATCCAAAGCAATGTAATAGTCTTTGGTAGAGGGATTTTGAGAGCTTACTCAAGGTATGATGTTGCTACTTCATTCAAGCAATATTTTTAAGGAATGTTTTTGCATTAAGTAAAGAAAGTAAAATTAAATGATTCAGAAATAACCACTCATGTTTTTAAATTTCTAATAATTCATTGTATATTTTGGAATATAAAAATATTGATGTAGACTCAGTGCTTGCATGTTATTTAAGGGCATGTTTTTAGTAACCCCTCTGGATTTTTTTCCCCACTAGGATACTCGATACTTCAAGCTATCATGGAAAAAGCAGGACAAAATGGTTGGCATGTCAGCGCTATATGTGTGGAAAATTTTAATGATGTCAGCTATAGGCAACTTCTAGAAGAGCTTGATAGAAGACAAGAGAAGAAATTTGTAATAGACTGTGAGATAGAGAGGCTTCAAAACATATTAGAACAAGTAAGTACTGGACTTTATGTTATTATTAACCTAGACCTTCTACAAAAATAGTTGACTTTTTTTGGCCCATCAATATCTTCTTCCAACAGTTTAGCCTGAAGTGTGGAGTATGGGAGTTTTCATTCCATGATTTATTTATCTCCAAGACTAAATCATAATCTTTTATCACCAAAGGTCATTGTGGTTCTCAATGAAGTTAGAAGTACTTTTCCTCACACATTTTAAAGACATACAATAGAAAGGACTTTTTGTGACTCAAGAGCTCTTGACCTCCTATTTTCATAAGCATTAAGATTGAAGATTAATTCCATCTAAAGTATTAGAAAATGTGACTCTGTACTTTTTATAACCTTTAGAGAAATAGCTCTGTGAGAAATATCAACATGAATTAATAAAGCAATGAAATAAAAGAAAATTAAGTGACACAGTGCATATAGCATATTTTCTTCTAGATGTTGTAAGTAAATACATTACCACCACAGTGAAGATGGCTTTCAAATCTCCTCACAAGAAAGAATCATTTAATAAAGATTTCAGTAAGTATCTGTTGATTTGATTTGAAGCATACAGGAAAAGATAAAATTGAACTTTGTCAGTGTGTTATATGAAAGAAAAATATCATCAAATAATGGATAACACTTGCCTTGCCCCTAATCCTGCATATCATGATAAAGCTTTAAAGGCTGTATTTGGCCAAAATTGCAGTGAATGAATGCCATCTAGTGGTTTTATAAATGTTTGCTCATATTTATCTACAATATGTTAGGTTAGCTAGACAATAATGTAGCATGTTTTATTGGTTAGTTTGCTACATACAGTTTATTTGCATAACAATATGATTTGATTCATAGTAACAACTTACCAATTTGGAGGTTTATTTATGAGAACAAGTTAAGTACTCAACTATACGTATCAAAGCCAAGATATGTTTCAGAGATTTCTCCTTAATATCCAGGGACGCTGAACTAGATGCCATAAGTTTCCTTCTTCAACTATAATTAGCATTTGTAAATGTTAAAAGTAAAAAAGCATGTAGTGGGCTTCCCTGGTGGCGCAGTGGTTGAGAATCTGCCTGCCAATGGAGGGGACACGGGTTTGAGCCCTGGTCTGGGAAGATCCCACATGCCACGGAGCAACTGGGCCCGTGAGCCACAATTACTGAGCCTGTGCGTCTGGAGCCTGTGCTCCGCAACAAGAGAGACTGCGATAGTGAGAGGCCCGTGCACCACGATGAAGAGCGGCCCCCACTTGCCGCAACTAGAGAAAGCCCTTGCACAGAAACGAAGACCCAACACAGCCATAAATAAATAAAATTTTTAAAAAAAGAAATAAACAAGGAGAGAATAAATAAGATTATTAAAAAAAAAAGCATGTAGTATTTCTTTTAAAGTTCTCATGAAGCCAGACTATACTGTAAGGAAAAATGAAAGAGTACTCTCCTCCTGTTACACTTTTATAAAAGAAGCAAAAAAAAAAAAACATTTGATTGATGAATTGTGTTATTATTCTATTAGAAAATGTTAATCTTAACCTGTACATCACTCAGGTTTATTCCTCAGGGAGTCCAAGAAATCATTAGGGTTGTGATTATACGAGGTATATGAAACTTTTAGTGTGCATTTATGGAATCCAAGAAAAAACTCTCCTACTTTCTTAAGTAAAACCTGGTCACTTCAGCTCAAACTCCCATTCTCCCTCCCTCCCACTCTACACCTATGTTGAGAGCTTGAGTTGTTTGACATGAACAACTGAAGCTTTGTAAATAACTCTTCATGAATCCCACAGAACAGTCAATTCTAACATCTTCCTGTCAGTGGGTAAGGCTCAGAAAGACCCTCTAGTTGCTAAAAGACTTGTGCTTAAAAGACCACAGCTGGAGAAGGCAATTGAGTGCCTAAAGCATATTGACCCATTTCAGAGGCTCAGCAGGTTTCGAAGAAGAAAATCAGCACACCCAGGTGCTATGGATAAACTTGTTGAATAAATAAGCCTTAAATAAGCTCTCACTAAGGGAACCAAGCATCTCACTTTTGTTATGATTTCAAAGAAATTATTTTTTTATTTTTTCCAGCTTTATTGTGATATGATTAATATGTAACATGGTGTAAGTTTAAGGAATACAGCATTATAATTTGATACACAAATATATTGTGAAATGATTACCACAGTAGGGCTAGCTAACACCTCCATCACGTCACATAATTACCATTTCTTCTTAGGGGTGGGAACATTTAAGGTCTACTCTCTTAGCAAGTTCTAAGTGTACAATACAGTACTGTTAACTATAGTCACCATGCTGTACATTAGATCCCCAGAGCTTAGAAAACTTGAGTGTTTACCATTACCATTTCTATTTTAATTTCTTCAGAATGCTAAAAGTTTTTTTATCATGACTGCATAGTAATAATGAGACTATTAATAGACTTCTGTCTCTTTAAAATGCGGCTCAAATATAAATATCATAAATTGTAACAAAGTCTACTCTACTGTAAGAATATATTGTGTTCTTAATTGTCCTATAAAATTTCTCCCTGAGAAAAACTGTTTCCTATTCTGAACATTTTTTAACTGTCTTATTTTAATTCCTGTAGCTCTAAGCTAAATCACTTTTAATGTTTCTTGACTCATCTAAAAACAAGAGCTAGTCCAAACTTTGTCAGGAACTTGTACATTTACTTCAATAACTCTGTGTTTCAATATCCTCCTTAATAAAATGAAATAACAATAGAAAACAATTTCAGAGACTCAAACAAAGCATTTTTTAAAAAGTAAAATGCTAAGTAATCTTGATCAGAAAAATGTCTCAAATTTTTTTTCTATTAAAGTATAGATGATTTTCAGGTATACAACATAGTGAATCAATATTTTCATAGATTATATTCCATTTAGAGTTGTTATAAAGTATTGGCAATATTCCCTGTACTGTACATAGTACAGTACATAGTATATTGTGCCTCTTAATCCCCTACTCCTGTCTTGTCCCTCCCCCGTTGCCTCTTCCTGCTGGTAACCACTAGTTAGTGCTCTATATCTGTGAGACTGTTTCTGTTTTCTTATGTTAATTACTTATTTATTTTTTAAATTCCACGTATAAGTGATAACAAACAGTATTTGTCTTTCTCTGCCTGACTTATTTCACTAAGCATAATACTCTCCAGTTCCATCCATGTTGTTACAAATGGCAAAATTTTATTTCTTTATGGCTGAGTAATATTTCATGATATATATATACGTGTGTGTGTGTGTGTATATATATATATATATATATATATATATATATATCACATCTTCTTTATCCATTCACCTGTCAATGGACACTTTACTTCCATGTTTTAGCTATTGTAAATAATGTGGCTGTGAACATTGGGGTGCATGTATCTTTCTGAATTAGTGTTTTTATTTTCTTCAGATATATATCCAGGAGTGGAATTCCTAAATCATATGGTAGTTCTATTGTTTAATTTTTTTAAAAACTTCCATACTATTTTGCATAGTGGCTGCACCAGTTTACATTCCCACCAAAAGTGTACTAGGGTTCCCTTTTCTCCATATTCTTGCCAGCATTTGTTATTTGTGGGCTTTTGACGATGATAACCATTCTGACAAGTGTGAAGTGCTACCTTATTGTGGTTTTGATTTGCATTTCTCTAACAAATAGTGATGTTGACCATCTTTTCTTGTGCCTTTTGACCATCTCTGTCTTTTTTGGAAAAATATCTGTTCAGGTCTTCTGCCCATTTTTTAATCAGGTTGTTTGTTTTTTTGATCTTGTGTGGACTGTTTATATATTTTGGATATTAATCCCTTATCAGTCATATCATTTGTAAGTAATTTTTCTCATTAACTAAGTTGTCTTTCTATTTGTCAATGGTTTCCTTTGCTGTGCAGAAGCTTTTAAGTTTAATTAAGTCCCATTTGTTTACCTTTGCTTTTGTTTCCTTTGCTTGAAGAGAATGATCCAAAATATGTTGCTATGACTTATGTCAAATAATGTGTTCTGCATATGTTTTCTTCTAGGAGTTTTATGGTTTCCAGTCTTACATTTAGGTCTTTCATCCATTTTGAGTGTTTTTTTTGTATATGGTCTGACAAAATGTTCTAATTTCATTCTTTTACGTGTAACTGTCCAGTTTTCCCAGAACCACTTATTGAAGAGACTGTCTTTTCTCCATTGTATATTCTTGCCTCTTTATTGTAGATTAATTGACCATAGGTTCATGGGTTTATTTCTAGGCTCTCTATTCTGTTCCACTGATATATGTGTCTTTTTGGTGCCAGTACCATACTGTTTTGATGACTGTAGCTTTGTAGTATAGTCCGTTGTCAGGGAGTGTAATACCTCCAGCTTTATTCTTTTTTTCTCAATCTTGCTTTGGCTATTCAGGGTCTTTTGTGGTTCCATATAAATTTTTGGATAATTTATTCTAGTTCTGTGAAAAATGTCCTTGTATTTTGATAGGGATTGCATTAAATCTGTACATTGCTTTGGGTAGTATGGACATTTTTTAAATGTTATTCTTACAGTTCATAAACATGGGATACCTTTCAAGTCTTTGGGTCAGCTTCAAATTCCCTTCATCAATGCCTTATATTTTTCAAAGTATAGGTCTTTAACCTCCTTGATGCAATTGTAAATGGGATTGTTTTCTTGCTTTCTCTTTCCCATAGTTCATTATTAGTGTATAGAATAGCAACAGATTTCTGTATATAAATCTTGTATCCTGCAACTTTATTAAATTGTTTTATTAGTTCTAATGGTTTTTTAGTGGAAATTTTAGGGTTTTGTATATATAGTAATATGTCATCTGCAAGTAGTGACAGTTTTACTTCTTCCCTTCCAATGTGGATGCCTTTTATTACTTTTTCTCATCTTATTTCTGTGGGTAGGACTTCCAATACTATGAAAATAGAAGTGACAAGGCTGGGCATCCTTGTCCTGTTCCTGATTTTAGAGGTAAAGCTTTCAGCTTTTCACTGTTGAATATGATGTGACCTGTGAG